TGGCATTTAGGAGGGTGTCCAGCAATGGAGATGGTCTGCAGCATATGACAGCCAAGATGGAGCTGAGGGAAGCTGGAGATGACAAGGGGGATCTTCTTGCAGTCTTCACCTTCCTGATGGCACACAGCATAAGGAGAAAGGCTGACAATCACGATTTGCAACAAGGGAATTTCTGAGTAGGGAAAAGTATTTATTTATTTATTTATTATCTATTGTATTGTGAGCATTCTTAGACACTGGAAGAAGAACACAGAGAATAATGAAATCATCAGCCTTGGAGATATTCAAGCTTAACAGGCCAGGATCCTGAACAACATGCTCAAAGATGACCCTGCTTTAAGCGGGGGCTTGGGCTACATAGCCTCCAGGGATTCCTTTCAACTTGAGCTACTCTGCAATTCTGTAAATATCTTTTGGTATATACTAGGGTCCCTGTCTCAAAAATATTGCATTGATGCTGCCCAAATCTGCAACAGTGCAAATCCAATTGGATGAACTGCTGTGTGTCTGCCTAAACTTTTTTCAAATTACACTAGTTGATTTAATTAAAGAGTTTCTTCTGCCTGCAATCCATGTTTTGTTTGTGGTGGATCATCACAATGCTGCCTCAGATGATGTTACCTACAACTTTTTCACCGAGGTGTGAAGGAAAAGTGCCAGTACCAGTAAGGTGCAGAAACAATAATGGAAAGATTGTTCCAACTCTTCTGTTAGGTTGGGAGTGGAAACAGGAGTATTTTACAGTGCCTGTAAAATACTATCCCACCCTTAAACCTGTTTTAGTTGGGGCCTGGCTCTTCTCAGCCCTAGTCTGTATGTGAGTGGTAAGATTTAAAGATTCACCACACAATGCAAAGTCTGGCATTCACATTCATGCAGGGAATTGTGGCCTCTGGCCTTCACTACTCTAAGTTTAGTCTCAATTACTCTAACAATATCCCATCACAGACAAGCAGCTAAACTGAAATGAATACTACACAGGCTTAATCAAGAAAGATCTCACACTGGCAAGTTTTGCAATCAAATTTACACAGATTTTATTTTTCATGTAATAGCAAGGCTGAATGCAGTGTTGTAGGGTATTCTGATAAAAAATGGGGTTAACGTAGTAAAGTGACTATTTTGTTTGTGATTTTCTTTTTAAGACCAAAATTCCAAAATATTCTGTATAGTCCAAAGAGCAGAAGATGCCTGTTGTAGAGGACCTACTGGATCCTGCAGCTGAGTCAGAGGTATTAGATGCTATTCCATGAAACAAAGAATTGTGAGAACACAATTCTTTTAAGAGAAAGAAATCTGTCACAGGGTTGAAGAATATTTTCTTTTATTTCAGGGACAGAGAGTTTTGATTTTAAAAAAAAGCCTTCAACATGTGCTAAATAGGCTTAAATTTTGATGGTCCTTGGGCTTTATTATGTCTGCCTTTCTGAGACTAAGCTCATGGTTTGAAGCTGTAATCTCCAGTTGTCCCACTAGCTCTTTCAATATGATATATGTTGTGTCAGTGCTGGAAGGTTAAAGATTCGAGGGAGCTCTGTTTGGACTGGGTACAAAACCAGAGTCCTCTGAGATTTTGCTAGCTATTAACACCCACATTGGTTACACTTGGAAACACTAAAATTTGCAACAAACCCCCACTTTTTAAAATCTGAGTACAATTCCAAGCAGGGGTTCACATTTCAGATGAGTGGGAAGTGAGGATGATGTATAAGATCAGAATTACAGATGTATAGACTTGTGTGACCTCGTACTGATTGCCCCCAAAATGCATCTGTCTTACCACTTCTGTTGGCTCTGGTGATTCTCAATGACAATCAAGTACCTAAATTCTATTCTTGATATTTTCTCATAAATAAACCTCACCACATATTGAAATTTTCACCCCTCCTCATTCAGTTGCTTTTACTTAGTAAATACCTTCTTTGACATTACAATATGAAAACATTTCTTCACATTTCCTTCTTGGTAGAGACAGCAGAACTGCCCCTGCACCCCAGGATATGGCAGCACAGCCATAAGGTGTGTTTTTCCACTAAACATCTTACTGTGATGTTTCTCAGATTATTTTTTTAGAGAATTTTAGGGAATATTACAATATTTAATTTTTAAATAGTGATTTCCTTTATCTGGATAATTATTTTTTTTTAAGATACAGGATAGTAAGGAATCTTTTTGCTATCGGGGCCTTTGCAGTGAACCCATGGAGTCCCACAGATCTTTGTGCATCTTTCTGCACATTTGTCTCGAACATGAGTAACCAGCACATATCCCACCTTTCATTAAAAGTTTCCCCAGGACTTTTTACAGTGTAACACATCTCCGTGTTGATTCCAGCTGGTGCATTCCGTGATTCCATTTGCCCTTTGTGCAGCTATTAGGCCTTTCCAGCTCATGACCATCCCAGGAACAGCAAGTGTCTCTTTGCCTTAGCTCCTAAACATTTCCAGCTAATGAGCTATGGTTTTTTTGTTTCCCAATAAATGACATTGTGTTCTGTAGTGATAAATTTAATGTTAATCCCAAGTCTGCACAGTTCTTCCCCAACAGTGTTCAGACGTTTTAAACCACCTTCTAACTAGGAGAAATAAGAAAATAATGACACAGCGGAGAAAAATTACTTTACATCTTGTTTTATTGTTCCAATTGTTTATCCTAATTTCACTTATTAGTTTGGCATTTGTTTCCTTCCTTTATTTTTCTAAGACAAAAGTGATTATGTTGAAGACATGGTATAAGACAATGAAAAATTAGAAATTAAAAAACATGCAGTTATTGAAGTAAAAATAAATAACACTTATTATTTCATATTAAAACAGAAGCTTTTACTGAATGAATGCTATCTGAAAAATTGTATTGGTATCTTCCCAGAAAAGGCTCAATCACAATAAAATCACTCTATTATTCTAAGAATTTAATACATTAAGCAAAATAAATATCTTTAGAAATTATAATTCTCATGTATACCATGGATAACAGAATAGAAAAATCCCTCCCAAAATACTGTGGAGGAAAACATAATCTGACTATGAAGGACCTCTAGTGGTATATATACTTCCAATCAAAAAAACCCTGACATTATGCTTGCTTAGCATTTTAGAAAGAATCACTTCTGCAGTTTCAGATTTTGACTTCAATTCATGTAATATTTTTTGTCTTTCCTTCACTTGACACAGATGCAAAAACTATAATTTTGTTACAGTAATGTACAACAAAGTGTCTAGCTGAACAACGGCATTGCCCTTTGCTTGTTATCACTGTTATCTACTTTTATCACGTATTCAAACTTATGGTTTTCTCAGCAGAAGGAACAGCCTGATAAGACACACTGAGATGAAACTGTTTAGCCAAAAGGAGTTGAAAGCAGATGAGGATACCAGAGCTATGTCTGTCTCGCATTTGTTATGGCTTTGCTAATTCTTTTATTTGTCCTCAGCTCAAAAGTTTGTTTTTTAAAAAAAAGAAAAACAGTAAAAAAAGCTATACTGGTAGTTTTGAGTTATTCTTCACCCATTCTAGAATATATCCAACTATAAGAAATATTTGGATTCTTAGTTCCTTTCAGTCACACTTCACAAACAGTTTGATATTTAGACACAATTTTTTAACACGAATAATTAATTTTTAAATAATTCAATAAATTTATTGCTTAAAATTCTTAGTCAAAAAGGACGTACATACCTACCAGTTGGTCTAGGGGCCCATTAAGCTTCCAAGTACATTCTGCCTGCAGATAAACTAGAGTCATTCCCAGGGATTTCACTCATCCTGGGAAAGACACAGTAAACTATGTTAGAGTGAAAGCAGTTTTGTAGAGCTCCAGGAGCAGAGTTTCTATCTCTGAAAGAGGATGCACATCCTTAAAGGCACACACTGCCCTGTTCCACTGTTGGGGTGGCACAGGGAGGGGTAATTTTGGGCTGAATGAAGGGTGTCTGCAGGGCCGGGCAGCCTGGCTGGCACACACTGCAGCCACGTGCATCTCTTCACTGGCACGAGGCAAACTCAGGGCACAGCCAAGTTCCAGAAGCACACAGCCACAAGCACACATGAGACAGACCCTGAACTGTAGTAAAGCACAGCCTGAAGCAGGAGTAGCTGAACACAAAGTCACGTTTAGACATCTCCAATATCTCTGCATTCATGGCCATGTTGTCCACAAGCCATAAAAATTTCTTGCGATAGCGAAGTTTATTATACTTTGCAATGAACTTAGTCCCCAAAGTCTAACAAATGACACTTTTTACAGTTGTTGCTGGGTTTTTTTTTTGTTTGTTTGTTTGTTGTTATTGTTAAATTTAAATTTAAAATAGACCAAACTTTATTTTGTTTCATATTTTTAGAATTTACAGATACCCCTCTGACACTGCAATCTTTCTGCAGGTGAACAGCTCTAGGGTGAAGCTCTGGCCTGGCAGCCTACCTGTAGCAAGGAATTCCAAGAGCTGAGCTTAAATGGAGACAAAGAGCACCAAAGACATGATCCTCATCTCTGGAAAACTGGCAGCAGATTGCAGATATAGGGTGAACTAAATGTGAAGATAAGAGTACCACAGCTGTGGAACTCAGATATGACTAAATACACAGGGTCTGATAAGTCTGTTTCTTATAAACTTTCTGTTAGTTTAGGTTGTGAAGAATCAGGACCAGCATGACCAGATTCATAACTATCATAACACTGAGACTAGTCTTGGCAGACTGATTTCTTGCATGAGTCAGAGCAGGATTTTTATTGGATTAGGAATTAGAAATTAAAATATCACTAAACTATCCTGTTATACAAGTGAAGAAAAAATACATAAAACCTCAGTATAATAAACAAATGGGTATGTATGTTATAAATATAGAAGTATATTTATTAATGCTTTTACAACATGTAATTATACAGCTTTTCTTTCATAATGATCTTTAACATTACACCATCGCAGAGTGACAGAGGGTATTTGGGGTCCTCTCCCATGTAGCCAATACCTTAGTGGTTATTTGAGCCTGTGCCCTTGGGGAAAGGGGACACTAAAATTCACCTTCATTAATGACAGGTACATGGAAATGTAAAGATAACCTGAAAATGGCACAGCAATGCCCCTTTGACTTCTAAATCTAATCCTGTGAGGATGAATTTGAGGAGTAGCATAAAGAAATAAACACAATTTGAATGAGAGAACTATGACAGAGAAAAACATATCTGGAAAAAAAAGTTATGGTGTTGGGGGGAGAAATATTAGATCGTGGTGCTCTGGGGGGAAAAGCTGAAGGTAGAGACCAACAATGTCTTGTGGCAGAAAATCCCTTCTGCCGGCTCAGCGAGAACAGTGATAAATATTTGCCCCAATGAGGGCAGAAGGTTGCTCTTCCTGGAGACACCTTCGAGGTTCAATTCCATCACATACAGAGCATCATTAGAAGTACTGTTAAAAAACCCACCAAAGTATACAAAACGTCACCAGGTTCTCCAGGTGAGTTGCCCTGAGATGTGGGTGAATACAAACAGAATGTGAAAAATCCAGAGGCATGGGAAAGCAGCAGCAAAGAAGTGGGAGTTGAAACGCTACAAGACTCGAGGCTGCGTAGAAATCTGAGAGAAGTTGAACTTGAGGGGTGTGCAGTGACTGGTACTCCTGTAGCTGGCAGATGCGCCTGAACTGGCTGCACAGCAACCTGCTGCTGCTGCCAGGCTCCCGGGAGCCCTGCTGCTCGATGCCTGCGCAGGGGCTGGGGGCAAAGCAGCCCTGCAGGGCCCCGCACCGGGGCACCGGGCTGGGCTGCTGCCGGGGGCCCGCGGGAGAGCGGAACACAAACCCGGCGATGGCGCTGCTGAAGCTGCCCACGTACACTCAGCGGCTGGGAAACCGCAGGGCCGGAGCGCGCCCGGGACAAGCAACATCAGGAGAGCTCCGATCCCACGCCCCGGCAGCAGCCGTGACCCTCCCGGGGGCGGCCCCTCGGCGGGCACAAAGCCGGGCTCGGCCGCTCTCCGGGGAGCAGTGTGCCGCTGTCCCGGTGCTGCTGCTCATCCCTTCCTTCCGCCGGGTGCCGCCTTCGCAGCGCCCGCCCTCCATCGCTGCCTGCCCGCTGCCGGCGGGCGCGGGGCCGGGGCAGCCGCGCCATGGAGGAGGCGGCCGCTGCTGTCGGGGCACCGCCGCCCGCGACCGCTGCTGCTCCTGCTGCTGCTGCTGCTGCTGCTGGGGCCGAGCCATCGTCCGGGGCCGCCGCCTCCCGTCCGCGCCGGCTGCTGGCGCTGCTCGGGGCCAAGCTCTGCACCTGGTGAGTGCCCGGCCTCCACGTGGAACCGCGCGGCGCCGGCCTCCCCCACCCCCGCCGGCTTCCGGGCCGCCGCCGGAGCGGGGAAGGCGGCAGGAGAGGGAGGGGAAGGTCCGCGCCGCTCCCGGCGTTCGGCGGGCAGCGCGGCCGGGATGCGGAGGCCGCTCTGCGCCGCCGGGAGCGGCCGCGGGAATCCGGGCGGGAGCGGCCGCGGGAATCCGGGCCGGAGCGGCCGCCGCGGGGTGACGGCCGGCGGTGCGCGGGGCTGAGCAGAGCCCGGAGCCTTTGCCGGCCCGGCACAGGGAGCCCGGGGAGCTGCCCCGGGAGCGGGAGCTCTGGTGCCGGGGCTGCTCCGGGAGCGGCGCCGAGCTGCAGCCTGCGGATGCTGCTGGGCGGGAGCGCTCAGGGCGGCTTCGGCTGAGCGTGGAATTAGCGAGTGACGTCTTGGCTCTTGTTGAAGTAGAACTGTGCTCTCACACGTAAACACATGCTTTTGTCTTTTTTGTTCTGTTCTGTCTGTTTTGTTCTGTTCTGTTTTCCGGTTTTTTCCCTCCACTTTATCTGTTTTGTAGTTCTCCATCATTTTAAAGGACAGGTCATGGGGGATAGCGAAAGTAATAGAACAAAATAACTGAAACGAGGTGTGGAGTCCAGAAAGACCTATTTCCCCACTTCCTCCTTCCGTGAATCAGCTTAGGATAGAGACTCTTATATCTCTTGAAATACGAGCACTAGTTAAGTATGGGAAACTTGTGGAAAAATATCTGCCAAGCTGTGCAGACAAGCTGGTACTTCAAAAGCACTGCCTTCCATGAGAGCAGGACTGCATCCTCAGACTTCTAGGCCATCCATTTACAGCTTTACTTTCCCTCTAGCAGGGGAAAACAGTCCTTGCTTAAAAGGCTTTTTCTGAGCTATAAGTTTGGTCACTAATAGTTATTGCATAGGATTTGTCAGCCAAAGATGTGCTGGCTTTTCTGCCAGCCTCTCATACTCATGAACTGTAGTCTGGCTGCTGGACTGTGTGATGGTGTATGCTGGCCAAGAAGAGCCTTATTCCAGTGGACAAAGTCTCATCTTCTCCTTTGGTTATAAGTTTTTCTCTTTTCACTCCTCATGCCTGTGAGGAGAGACCCAAAAGGCAAGATGGAAACTTGTTGAGTTGTTCAGTGACCTCACCTATGTCGTTTGTTTTGCCAAAGGCTACACTAAGTGAGTCTATGGAAGGCATTTGAAAGAAAATCAATAGCTTTCACTGAATTTTAAGAAGTGTTGTCTGAGATACTGAATTGATGTTTTTTCTTACTTTTTTTTCCCTCCAGGTGACAGCAGGCTCAGCCACTTCAGTGTTGTTTGAGGCCTTTCTGAGTCATAGGAAGGTTTAATAATTGTATATAATAAACTAGGCTGATTCTGGGTTTTGTTGTAGTTTTTTTCTCCTGCCTTTTTTTTATTTCTGGTTCTTTTCTGGTTTTTACCTTTTGCAAGTTAAATTGATGTCAGTTTCAAAGCAGAACATGGAAAAACTAACTTCTGATGATGTTAGTTCTAAAAATATATTCTGTTGCTCTTTGGTTAATCACTAATTATGTTGTGGTATGGGTTCGGTCTGAACCTGCATTTTGCCTTAAGCACTAGCATGAAAAAGTGAGATCATTGAAATTAAAAGGTCACTTCCTCCCCTGTTTAGGAAGGATTCAGTAGTTAAAGCTAAGTGCAAATACACTCTGTACATGAACAGTGTTGCCAGGCTTTCCCATGTTGGTATTAGATTGGTGGCACAAATAAAATGAATATTTGAATAGCAGTATTTTTAAAAATTCACATTAAAATTACAGGATTTACTAAATTAATTGCCAGTAAAATTGTTAATTATGGTCTTACTAAATTTTCTTTAACTTCCTCCTATATAAATTGTATTTTAGTATCTTGGTGTATTTTTTATTCTACATTTCACATGGAGCCAAGGAAAGTCAGCCTGAGTTTCTCGGGATGTTGAGAGCTGCACATTGCTCAGTTTTCACTTTAGACCAATTTGTGGCAAACTTTCATGCTCTAGAAAGTCCCAAAATGACTTTAGTTTTGCTCAAAGCCATAGATACAGCTAGCTAAGTTAGGGTGGCTGAAGGGGGGGGGACTAATTACTTAGTAGCTTGCTACCAAGCATTAAAATCCAACAATAACCTACGCCCCCCAACTATGAAACAAAAGGCATTTTCAGATCACTTACCTTGCATCATCTGAGACACCAAAGTGAATTAGTCTTTTCCAGTGCATTAAAAAAAAAAAAAAAAGCTGAGAGGATTAAGTTCTGGCATGGAAACATTAATAATTAATATATTTCAAAATCTGATCAATTATTAATAAGAAAGTCACTGTCATCGATACTCATGTCAATAACAAAATGAATGGAAACTTGTGTCTTTAAAGCATTTTTCTCAGAAGAAGTTGTCATGCAAAATGCAAACAGGATTTAAAGTTTGCTCTCAAGTTTTACAGAAGATCAAACATATTTTTTAAGCTAAGCCAGGAGCCCAGTGCATCGTGCCAGGAGCATGGTGATGTCATCTCAATGTGAAGAAATTATTTTTCCTGCTTTGGCAAATGGTGTGAGGGGAAACCATTGCTGCTTCCTGCTGAGGCTTCCACCTGGCATTGGGGAGCAGTCAGGGCAAGAGGCTGTCACCTTACACACAGCTGAGAAAGCTGCCAGGTACAGAGCATTTGGGATTCACAGAAGACATTTTTTGAGGGCAGTTTTCCACTAAAGACTTAAAGTCTTTCTGTGTGATTTTTAATGTTAACATTTTGAATCTGTTCAGGCAAGAAAAAAATTCCTTGAATTAAAATAGATAAAAATAGAGAAGGGCATGAGGTGTGATGAAGGCTGGTTGTTTTGTTAGACATCTTTGTTTCAGTAGAAGTAAATGCTGTACTAATGCCAAGACATATATCAACTAAATAGCAATAGGGCAGTAACCACACAGCAAATAGTTCTGGAGGATCTGGACCAGTCTCTGTAGAAATGCAAGGAGATAACTCCTTAGGTGCTTTGAACTGGGGAAATCTGGTCATTTGAAAAGCTGAGAATCAGTTTAGTGGAGTCACTCCACTGCAAGAGGGCAGATGAGTCTGTCTTGTTGTCAGTAAATGATAGTTGGAGCAGCTCAGTTGTTAACAAATTTGAATGGCAGCAGGTTTTCCCCATTTTAGCCTCTCACTGGAACATGGTCGCTATCCAGTTTGCTGCATGTAGAGTCCAGGCCTTTGCTGTAGGGAAGGTGCTGTAGAGAAGGTGCTCAGTTGCCCCTTGCATCTCATATCCTAGACAAAAATGTTTAAAGCCCTACCACACAAAAGTCCATGTTTAACAAGCCTCCTTAAACAAGCTTGTGGGGTGGCATTGCCTGTGCTTCTGCCCTTCTCTGTGGCAGCACCAGCAGGTGAGCGGAGGGAGTTTGTGTCTGGATTAGGGCTTCTGCCAGCCAAGGCAGCTTTGACCTCTCCTGGTAGCTTATTGACGAGTGCAGTTCATTTTGTGCAGCACACGGGCTTTGCTCCAGTAAAACTGCAGCAGTTTTGCCCAGTCATGCCTCTGCTCATGTCTAATCCCTGCCTCCACATTTTCCTCCCAGCTAGTCCAAGTGCAGGGTGAGTTTAGTCCAGTAAACTGCCAAAGGCTTGCTGTGTTCCTCCAGTGCTGATGGTGAAGAAGAAACATTTTTCTGCTAGTTTGGAGCAAGAAGCTTTATTTGAATAAGAAAAAGTATATGTGTATTTTTTTAAATGCCCGAAAACACATTTTTGTATGTTGTTCACCACAGTGTATACTCCTTTGAATTTCAGTTGGTCTTCTGTCATTTTACCTGCTGTAAAGGAGCCAGAATTTGCAGAGCTGGCAAAGGGCAAGCTGGGATCCTCATCCATGCCTGCTTGAAATTTTAGCTAATTTGCATCACATTGGTTCTAATGGCAGCTGATTAAATTCTTTACATGACCATAAAAAGATATTTCTGCATCAGCCAGAATAATTAGCCAGAATGTGTCTGAGTTGTTCATTAAATAGCATAGACCATTGACCAGAATATAAAGAAATGAAAAATCAGTTAAAATATAACAGAAGTGAGGTTGCTTCAATTTTTTCTCTTGCTGTTTTTAATGAAAACCACCCACCACCCCCCACCATATGTATTGTAGAAATCTGTTTAGAAATCAGAATGTTTTTCTTTCACACACTAGTAAATATATATTGTAGAAGACTGATCAGTACCTTACAAGATTGTCACATGGTATATAATACTTAGAGTGTGAATGTGCACTATTCCTGGGATTGGCAAGGCAAGCTGTAGTAAAGCATGGGATTCAAATCTCTTGGAAGTACAGTGTGGCTGGACTTTGTAGACATTTGCTGTCTCATCAGAATGAACTTGGAGAGAAAAATGTGCCCAGCAGCATTTTCAAAGTCAGAAGAGCTTGGTGTCAGGCTGAATTGAAAACAGGATTCATGCAGGTGCATTAGAGTTTGTGCAAGGAAGATGCCTCCCTTCCAAAAGGAGGATTGATTGCATGATTGTAGTTGGGTTTAGCACTGTCAGACACACCCTTCTCATTGCCTGGCAGCTGGATTGCACTGCACAGCACAGCAGGGTGAGCTGGTGCTTACTGTGTTGGGGTCACCCACCTTGGGGAGACAGCCAGTGATACTCTCAGGTGGTGTGCCTGACACATGGGTGTCCTGCCAGAAGTCAGCGTGGGGAGGTGTGGGCACAGGGTAGGTGCAGAATCCTAATGAGGTCCTTTCTTCCCTTGCTTGATTAATTTGAGTGGAAACAAATTAATCAATTGTGCAGCCAGTTAAATTGTCATCAGTGGTCTTCAGAGTAAACAGATTAAATAGTGAACTTAGCAGACCTGTACAACAACACAGGGCTGAGCTCCTGTCACTGTGTATTGTGCATGTGCAGAGACTTGGGATGGTACAAATTAGCATAGCTCCACTGGCAGAAGAAAGAGCAAGCCAAAAAAACCCCATGGAGTTACATGCCCCTGTTTGTCTAGGAGCATCTGGAATAGTTCATCTTACATTAAGTGAAGAACTGCTACTAAAAGAGCATGAGCTTTTTTTTTTTTCCTTTTTTTGTCCCTGCTGGCTGTGGGTGGGGCTTAAGAAGAGCTGTAAATGCAAACGTGATTTTTCCCAAAATGCAAAATGCATTCTTAACTCCATCCTCAGTTGCAGCAGAACATGATGCAATAGAACTGGAAAAATCCATAATAAGTGTTAATTATAATAATTCTTATTGTAAGAAAGATTTATTTTATGGTGAGAACAAGCAATCACTGGAACGACCTCCACAGGGATGTTGTGGAGTCCTCATCACTGGAGGTTTGCAAGATGCAACTGGACTGGGCACTGAATAGTCTCCTTGAGAGACTTCCCTTTCCCAGGAAGGGTTGGACCAGATGATCTTTCAAGAGTCTTCCAAACTGAGCTGTTACTTGGTTTTATCATTAATACTTTTGTGTTCCTTTACCACTGCTCATCTTAAGGTCTCAGCTGACTAGAACTCAGGTCTCAGATGAGCTTGAAGGTAGTTGTGTTTTATCTCCATGTTGTAGATCTTTGTTGATCAGTCAGGATGGAATTCAGTGGAGGACAAAGGATTTAACTCAAAACTTGCTTAATAAGAGTAGAAACTGCTATTGGGTAGAGCCTGCCCAGGTGACTTGTTTGAAGATCCTTTCAAATAACTGCAGTCTCCATGGCTGGTGGTTTGAGCTGTCCTGAGGTCAGGCTAGACCTTCTGTGTACACAAAACCCTGCTGACCTGTAGGTAACAGGACAATATTGGTAGGGAGAATAAAAAAATAAAAGTGTCAGTCTAAAAAAAAGTCATTTTTCGAGTAAAACTAGAAAATATTTTTTCAGAAATTTGAATGTTTAATTCTAACCTTGCTGTTTTGTCTTTTATGTTCACAGGCGTATTTTGAAAACTGTAATTCTGGGCCAGGTGCTCTCCTTGTTTATCTGTGGGACTGCTGTTACAAGCCAGTACCTGGCAGACAAATACCAAGTGAATACTCCAATGTTGCAAAGTTTCATCAACTATTTTTTGCTGCTTCTAGTTTATACAACAATGCTGGTATTTAGAACTGGTATGTGAAATACAGGATGGGAGATTCTCATTCATCTTTTTTTTTTCTTTCTACATTTTCCTTTCAGAATTTGAAAATAAAGACCTCAATACTCTTACTAGTTTTTAAAGTTCCTGCTTTATAGCAACACATGGAAATTAATTTCACAGGGTTAAACGTGCATTTAATTTGATATAATGTCATATCTGTTTAGAGTTTTGTGCTCTTTGGTTTGAAGTCATATGTTATATTAGGAAAAATAAGCTTTGTTTTAACATGCTTTGTTACCAGAGGCTATTTAGTATTCCTCCTATTCTTATTAATTTAGTCTTTAGACAACTCCAGTCTTGCTGTGTTTTGCTTCATGTGGAAGAATTTCTGTACTTTTCACCATTTGCATGGTCCCCTCCCAGGCTGTGTTTTCTATTACTGTATCTTCAGCAGGGGCAGGCAAAGTCAGTCTTGGTATTATTTATGCTTCTAAAAAGCAAAATTCCCATGCAACGTTTAGTTGGAAAGAAACACATATTGATTTCTGCTTTCTTCTAAACAGGCAATGACAATCTCTGGCAGATTTTGAAACAGAGATGGTGGAAGTATATTATTTTGGGACTGGCTGATGTTGAAGCCAATTACACGATTGTAAAAGCCTACCAATATACAACCCTCACAAGTGTGCAGGTAAGGACCAATCTCTCTTTTTGAACTGTTGCTTTTATTACAGTTTTGGACTGATTTCTAAAATGAGATTCATAGGACAGACATGGAAGCTATTTAAGCCTGAAAAGAGCTTTCCAGTATCTTTTTTCTCTCTGCAGTACAGGGAAGAGCATCCTGTATCACGAATAACCTTTCCAGGAAGCAGAGAAGATTGGCTGGTAGAGCTGTGCCAGCTCTTGAGTTGAACCCTAATTATTTGATAAAAGCACTTCTAAGAGTTTGCTGACAGCCACTCAGTTTTTTCTCCTGACACAAAATAAAGATTTATGACCAGATACAGTCACTCAGTGCAGGTTCTTGCTGATGACAATGAGGTGGATCTTTTGCCTACTCCTAGAAGCTGCGGGAGGTGTTGTGAGATGCAACCCCCCCTGTGAGGACACACTGAATGTCAGCTGGTGTTGCTGCCTACGCAGGGGAGTACAAGCCTTGTGGCTTTTGGATGTTGCAGTTCAGGGCCCTCTCTGGAAGAGGTGGAAGGAAGGTCAGCATAAATAAAGTAATGGTAGACATCGTCTGCAACAGCAGTGCTTGATGCTGCATTGCTGCACTAGGATAAATCTGGTTTTCTGAAAAAGCTCTATAAACAGAAGGGCTAAAGCTGGGGTTTCTCTGTCACACTACACAGACAAAAGCTGCTTTCCTCCTGCATCCAGCTGCAGTCTCCTGAGCTTGCAGGGCCAGTTTCCTTGAACAAACTAGTTGTCACACTGCATAGACAAAAGCTTCTGGAAGAGTCAGTGCTTTTCTCCTGCATCCAGCTGCAGTCTCCTGAGCTTGCAGGGCCAGTTTCCTTGAACAAACTAGCCCAGAGCACTGAGCAAAGTGGGAGTAAACCCTGCCTTTGGCTGTACTGTTAGTGAGCTGTGTCATGCCCAAGTTAACTCACTGTGTTACTTCACAGCTGCTGTGGGAACAAGGGAGAGGATGGTGCAGGAGCAAGTAGGGAATGTGTCCATATTGTGCCAGTTCATGCCTGCTGTTACCAGTGCTGGGGATCTGTGGCTGGGGTCATGGCCCCACTTACCTGAATTAAAAAAAAAAAAGAAGAAAGTAACATGCAGACTTGGCTGTTAGTTGGAAAGGAGTCAGTGTTTTACAGAGTCAAAGTAATAGGGGTTAATATTTAAGAGAATTACCTGTAAAGCAATAAACTCCTACAGTCTGGGCTCCCATTAGAGAGTTGCAGTAAATTTTCTTTGCGCTGCTGAAGACTGGTTGTGTCTCTTGCGTTATTTTGTCACATTTCCACTTCATACTTATGTGTTGTGACTCATTAGGTCTTTAATCTCCTTACAAATAATGCCTAAGAAATCAAAGTTTTAGAGTGACTTGTTTCAGTCTCAAGATCAAGTTAAGCTGGTAAGTGAGAGACAGTTTGACCTTTTAGTTTACAGCTGCCAGGACTTTGATCCAAGTTCTCAGAAGTAGTAAATCTATTCCCATGATTTCTTTCATAGAAATTAAGAAAGGATATATATCATAGATTGTCCTGTCCAAAAAACTCAAGCATTTTCTGAGCCTCTTTCCTTTTTGTAAAGCTTGTAACTGATGCTACTTTGTGTCAGTTCAGTAATTGTGATTTTTTTGCAGTTGCCTTTTGCCCTGAGGTTTCTTGCACATTGTCTGAAGTCACCAGTTTCTCTCCATTGTCAGAAATGAGATACAGGGAAAAAAATCCCACAACAAAACCCTGTGATTTGCTCTAATGCAAGGCATTTTCGTTTTGTTTTTGGCAAGCAATTTTGCAGCTACATCAGTGCCTGTGGTTCAGAGCTCACAGCCTGATGGCCTGTCTGCAGTCCTGGCTGTGAGTGGATGCCCAGGGACCATAAAAACAACACAGGGGTTTATGGCACCTTCCCAAATGCAGTGTAATCATTGTTGAAATGCTGTCTGGCTGGAGCTTCAGCTCACCACTGTGAAAGGAGCTTCAAAGATAAGTTTTTTTCAGCTCAGCAAGGAACTTCCATGTATTTTCTCACACATGCACACACAGGCAGAACTGGTTTCCCTTTAGTTATCAAATACCAGCATTTTACAGGAAGAATTTGGAGATTTTTAGGGTGATAACAGTGGGATGACAGCTCTCATTTCTCAGTAAATACAGACAAAGACTTTGGTCCACAACTGAACTGTCTGGCTGTGGCTGAGGCAGTGCCAGCATACTTCTTGCAGCCAGTGTCCTTTTTTCCTGTGGCAGGGACTTGTCTGTGCTGCAGTTTGACCGCCTATTATGGCATGAAGCTGAGTTGGGAGAGGTTCAGGTTGGCTGTCAGGAAAAGGTTCTTCACCCAGAGGGTGTTTGGGCACTGGAACAGGCTCCCCAGGGAAGTGGTCACAGCACCAAGCCTGACAGAGCTCAAGGAGCATTTGGACAACAGGCACATGGTGGGACTCTTGTGGTGTCCTGTGCATGGCCAGGAGTTGGACTGAAAGATTCTGATAGGTCCCTTCCAACTCAGGATAGTCTGTGCTAACAATTGTGTGATTTATATCAAAAAACAAGCAGTGTAGCTGTGGTTTGGTGGTTTTAACATGTTATTGGGCACATTTAGCATTCACTCTGTAGATAATTCAGATAGAAATGTTTTTCAGGCAACTATTGACAGATTGTCAGCTGCTGGAAGAGTGCTAGCCTCAATAGGAGAAAAGATGGGATGAGCCCCTGGGGCTCAGCTGGAGGCTGCCCTTATGGAGCCTTGTGGGGAATGAGCAAGATGAGCTGTTGAGCATTCTTGCTTACAAAGCTGTCTGGGGCTGGCAGTTATAAGCAAACCAATGGCCTCCAACTGTCTATGATAATTTATTAACCATTATATTAAAACATCTTTTAATCATTTACCCTACTTTTAAAACCTCCTATAAACATTGTGGGCAAAACGTGGCTTGAGTCAAAACACTTGTAAATCAAATCAGGTTATCTGGTTTACCCCCACCCTTGTTAAAAATACACGCTAGAATTGAATGAGAGTTTGGAGAGGCTCTACTGGAAATAGTAGTCAGTACCACAGTACTGCTGTAAATGTTGTAAAACCTCAATAAATAGACTTTATTTTTTAATTGATTCCATTGACACAATTCATCGTTATATTACATCTGCTTTGCACCTCTTTGATCTTGATCCTGTACAGAAGAGCTCTGTAATGTACTAGATGAAGGGAAGGTAAAATCGAGTAGTTGGAAATCTGATTCATCTGTAATTGAGGGTAATTGTCTCCTGGAACAGATTACCAGAGTGTGTTCTCCATCATTTGGTGCCTCTGTGCCCTGGCTGCAAGTCCTCTAACCATGGTGCTCTGGTTCTCCAGGGTGTTCTTGGTCTGGATGCATCAATTCCCCATCTTGCATTAATGAAAGAGTTTCTGGCTCATTATGTACTACTCCCTTACATCCTAGTTAAGATGTTTTTTAAAGGGTTTCTGCTCTTTCTGTTTGGGTTGAAAAACTGCTTGGAGGTCAGAAGGCTACCTGCTAACATCTCAGTTAATGGGAGGTGAAAGCTTACTTAGCAGTAGAAGAGATATGCCTATTTTTACCCCTCTGATAGTATAGCTACCACCAGAGGGGTAAACATTTTGCTTTCTAAAGCTTGTAGTATTTCTTGTTGTTTGATACTAGTCAAAACGGTCAAATTTGAAGGAAGTGTTAGAGGTTTTCTCGAGTCTAGACTAAAGGTAAGATAGAGAACAAGACCTGTGACAAGACAGAAGGTCATGGTGTGATATTTTCTGTGGTGTAAATTGAAATACTTGGTATCACATGGTAGGACTCATGTAGTTGTAATGTCTCATAATACAGCCTGAAGAAGTACTTTTACACTTCAGAGACTTTACAAACTGGACAAGCTGGAGGCAATCCAAGGAGCAAAGACAAATAGATGGAAGGATTAGAGGCACTGTTAGGATTTACTCTTTAATAGCTGCTCTTAGCACTATGCTTCTAAGACTTAGTGTATAGTTATGAACAAGTAGAACCAGACTTACCAAAATGTTAACAAGTTTGGTTGAAGCCCTTGGGGAAATGGCACAGCACTGCAGTTGACTGCAGTGGTGCACTGAGGCAGGCAGAATCTGGAAATAAGCATTAAGAACTAAGGACTCTTGTCTTGATTGCAGGTATTAAAGCCCAGTCCTACTGATCTGGACATATATTGCTAGGGCTTCAAGAGACCAAGTTTTGAGAGTAATTTCTCAAGAATCTTTGGGAAGTTGACTGTATGTTCTGCTGTAGGCTGTTCCCTTATGTAGTTCAGTGGCACTCTACTGAGACAGGTTAGAAAATGCACCTTTTTTTTCCTTTCACAAACTCAGAAACAAAACCTGTTTTGTTGAATTAAATGTTAAACCAATTATGATTAGCACAGTGGTCTTGATGGTATTTGATTATTTTAGAACAGCATGCCCATCTTATGGTGCACTGTATGTTCTTCTGTATTAAGTACACAGCTAGCTCTTGCAGCTTCCTCTCCTAAAGGGGAATAGGTAGAAGATCCTTGGAAGTGTCCAAGGCCAGGTTGGAGTGGTTGAGTGGAAAGTGTCCCTACCCATGGCAGGAGGGTTGGAACTAGATGAACTTTAAGATCTCTTCCAATCCAAGCACTTCTCTTCCAATCCAAGCAGTTATTCTATGGGTGGGTCTAGCATAGAAGCAAAGATACCTAGAAACTTTTACAGAAAAAATAAAGATAAGTCAGAATATCAAACCCAAAGCTGCAGGGTCAGGTCCTTGTCACAGTCACATTAATGTAAAATTAGCTCACTTGTAGCCATCAATAGTTCCATATTTTTGCTTTGTGTACATGGAGCTCCAGGGAGCAATCCTGTTTCAGAGCAGCATTCTAGCATTCATTTGTGAAGCTGCCAAGATTGATTAGATCCATCATTAGAAGAGTTTCTAAATCAATGCTTTCCTACCAAGAGAAAGTGGACCCCTGTTCCAGCTCCTCCTTCACTTGCAAAATGCTTTTAATGGTGAAATATGGGTCTCATTCCTCTCTTCTGCTGGGGCTGCTTTGCAGGTTTTCTTAATATCTGATGATTGGAAGTAAGATCCTGTGCATTTGCTTTCAGGATGTTGCAGTCCAGATTTGGGGTGGGTTTCTAACTCGAACAATTTTTCTGTACACACAGCTCCTCGACTGTTTTGGGATTCCCGTGCTGATGGCTTTGTCCTGGTTCCTTCTCCGAGCAAGATACAGGCTGATACATTTTGTTGCTGTTGCCATCTGTTTGCTGGGTGTTGGAATAATGGTGGGTGCAGACATTTTGTCAGGGAGGGAGGAAGGTGAAGGTAAGGAGTCCTTTATTGTCGGGGGCGGGGAAGTGCAAAGAGACAGTTCCTGCTGTGGACAGGAACTTGTAAAGTAGAAATAGTAGCAGATACAGTTCTGTTTTAAAAGAGAACACGTTGATATTCTTATTTCTTGTCTGGGAAGAGGAGATGTTGATTTTATGGGGAGCTGTGGAATTTGTTTGTGTGTTTGGAAATTTGTACCACCTTAAAAAAGACCTGCTTGTGTTAAGTTTAAATTTTGCTGCTGTTCATTAGACAATGTGATGAAAAGTCTCATTCCTGAAAGCTTGTTCACTTTGTCCGTCATGTGAGATGGTTTAATAGAAGAAGTGGCCTCTGCCTGCAAACTTTATCTTGTTTATACAGTATCAACCTGTGGCAGCCAGACTTTCCTGATTTACAATTTTCTCTGGGTACAAGTAGTAGCGCATAAAAAGTTGCTCACAGCAGCTGACTTCTCAGAGTTCTGTCTGGCAGACCCAGCAGAAATGGTCCATGTGTCCCCCAGGTCACAGCCTAGAAAGCAGGGTCTTACTACAGGAGTGCAAGAGGAGGTGGGGTAGGATTCCAGGATTCCTGTGAGGGATTCCAGGGACCTTTGTGAGGGAGGCTGGGCTCTGGGCCCAGGAGCCAGCAGGGTGAAGATAAGGGCAGGCCTTGTCTTCTCTATGTCAGATGCCTAAATCAACCTCTATCACAGCAATCTTATTTTGAATAAGAGTTTGAATTTTCAGAGCCAAAGACTACGAGAGAAGGTAAATTTCAGGGCACTGCCTTCATCAGGCAGCATAGAGATAAGAACATGTGCTGTTATTTTGGGGCCTTACTGTAGTAAGACATAAGACAAACTGAAGTTCATCTTTACTGCTATGTGGTACAAGTATCTTGGAGGGAGAAGAATATTCCCCTGAGACATTAGGAATTTGTGCTTCATTTGCTGACTTGGGTATCCTTACTGCTGCTTACCCTCATATTTTCGACATATTTTCTTAGTGATTGCTTAGGGAAGGAAATTTTAAACCAATGGAAGAATCAAAGCAGCAGTGATCCTCTTGCTATTTAGCTGATGCACAGAGACATTTAATGATGGGTGATGGTAGCAAGGGAATCCCATTTGCAGTATAAATACATTGCAGCAGGACACACGGTACCATCCCTCTGCAGTGCCCACTTAGGGCATGTTCTAAACCTGAAGCTGAGTCCAGCTCCCTCCAAAATCAATAGGCTGATTTTAGCAAGCCTTGAATCAGGCCTTACTGCAAAAGTGGGGACAATATTCTCGAAATGCAGAGAGCATCTCTAACTGGGATTGCTCAATTCCCTACAGTGCCCGAGGTCAGCAGAAGTAGGATTGGACCAGAGGATACAGCAGGGTCTTGGCTGGGATGAGATGTAAGTGCTGGGTTTAGCTGACTCCACACTGTGCAGGGTGAGGTGAGCAGGCAGCAGAGTCTGTGCTCAGACACTCTGCACACACAGGAAGGGTTTCCTTCCCCCTTCCCCTGGAATGAGCTAGGAAGATAGAGATGTTCAAGATAAATTTGCTTGCTTTTTTAAGGAAAGTTAAAAAGTATTTGTGGCATTACCCTTATTGTGGATTAATATTTCTGTACAGGTAGTGACGTGGTGATTGGAGATGTCTTAGTGCTTCTTGCTGCTTCTTTGTATGCCATTTCTAATGTGGGTGAGGAATACATTGTGAAAAATCTGAGCAGAGTGGAGTTTCTAGGAATGGTGGGCTTGTTTGGGACTATTATCAGCGGTCTACAGCTGTAAGGATCTAATATTTATTTTAAAACTAATTAAGAATATACTACAGATGATTGCTTGTATACCCTGAAATGATGTTGTTAAATTCTTTGTTGCATCTGTATGTGGCCTATATGGGAGTCCTTCCACTTGAATTGATTTTTGTTGCTGATCAGCATCTGTTTTATATCCTTTTTGTTTGCACTACTACTATTTCAGCAGTTCTAAAGGTGAACTCCTGCAGTTGAACACATAGAATACTTGGCTGGATTTTTTATTTTGTTGATGTTTGTGAGGACACTCAGTATGCTGAGGACTGTTCGCAGGACTGTATTTCTTAAAGAATTTTCTCAGTGGAAAAGATTAGGAGATAATTGTTAGCAGGAGATCTTCCCTGATAAGCTCAAGTTTAAAATGAAGTCATGTATACTCTTACAAATAACCACATTTGAGTAACAGCCCAGTTGCACTTAAGTCTGTCTAATGAATTATATAGTCCTCATTTTTCATCATTATAGTTAATAATTTCCGCAAATGGTATATCGAATAAAACTGAATTGCTGAAGGATTAAAATGCCTGTGAAGAAGGCATAAGAATTGAAAAACAGTGCTCTTGACTTTCAGGCACTTTAATTTTTATGTCTTTTTTCATGCTTGTTAGATGTTTGAGCTAGTCTCATTCAGTAAAATTTGAAACAAAAAAATGGCTTATAGATGAAAAGTTTCTTATATATTTGTTAATTAAATTCTCTATTTTAGTATGTTTTTTTCCTTTTTTACTATATTATATCTTTTCTCTAACTCTAGAGCCATTGTGGAACATAAGGAGATAATGAAAATTCAGTGGAACTGGAAAATTGGTATGTGTATGACAAAATAATGTGCATGTTAAAGAACACTGGAAAATTATAATCATTTAGACTTTGAATAGTGGGGCTTTTCTTTCTCTGAATAGCAAGCAGCATTAATACTGTATTTCACAAGTTTATTTTCTTCAAACTTTGCAGCTCAGCAAAGAGAGAGGGTCTGCAGGATTGAACATTAAAACAGGTTTTGCATTTTACATATAAATTGAAATAATTTTTCAAAATAAATTGAAATAAGTAAAAAATGAAACCTGTTTAATTACTGACAGGTTTGTTGCTGAAATATCACAAGACCATTCTTCTGTTGTTCTTCCTAAATGAAGTACAGGAAAAATTGACACATTTTGACCTGTACAGAACTAAATGTTATCAAGAAGTGTTGCTCTAAATTTCTTCACTTAGGTCTTATGTAGGAATGAACAAGAGCTTTCTTGTGTATGTCTTCTATACTTTCTTGTGTAGCTACAGTAATTCTTGCAATACAAGGCAATCTTTCATGCTTCTCTTACATGTGCATCCCCATATCTTTTAGGAGATAAAAATGGATAGTTTAAATTCATCTGAAGAATATCAGTGCTCTATGAAATCATGTGCTTGAGGAGTAACGTGTCACCTTGTTTTGCAGCACTACTGTTCATAGCCTTTGCCCTGTGCATGTTTGGGCTGTACAACTTCATGCCAGTTGTGATTAAAGTTACCAGCGCAACCACCGTCAACCTGGGGGTTCTGACTTCAGATCTCTACAGTCTCTTCCTTGGGCTTTACCTGTTTCATTACAAGGTGAGTACATTAATTCCTCCACTTTAACACTCTTTCAGTTATGTTTTCTACTCCAAAATTATGAATAAAGCGCAATGTTCTCAAAAGCCCCAGAGCAGTTGTTTGCACCTGCACATTTCTGCAGCTTCTGTCGTTCATTGTTGGCAGGTGTCAGTCAGGAGGAGTCACGTTAGTTAATGACAGAGCCTTGCACCATTAGCCAGAGAGCCATTTTCAAACCATTTCACACTTGAAGGAATAAGTTAATGTTAAGACATAGTTAATAATTTCCTGAGGTGTTACAATAATAGAGTTCCCACTGAAAGCCCTTTGTGGAATTGTATGTTAGATCTGGTTCATTACTCCAAGTGTTGAAGGAGAGGGTTTGAATCTCCCTGTCCTGAAAGGCTTTTGGTGTCTGAAAGAGAACTGGTGTGATTTTCAGCAAATAATACTTTCTTTCAGAAGTTTAATCTGTTCATTACCAACATTTTGGGATGAGAGTCAAGCTCTCTCAGGGCTGCTTCTAAGAAGAGACTAAAGAACCTGGAAAAATACAGATAAATGTATTATTCTGTATACTCTCCAAAAGGCAGTTACTTTTATTGTGCTCTAAAATATTTTTGGCAGTGTCTGCTCAAACTAAATGACAGTGCTGAAAGGATTTCATTCCACCCTCCACTTTCCATCCAGCATTACTTGTGAGAACCTAGTTCATTAAAGTAATTGGAGTAATTGAGTCAGCTGCTCCGTGACTGGAAGGGCTTGTGAGAGTGAGAAGCTTGTGAACTTTGCTTAGGAACTTAATTTGTATTATTCCATGTGGTTGCTTTCTCTTCAGCCAGAGGCTTTTAGGTCAGGTTTGTTTTCTGAAAATGAAGGCAGTGCAGAGTCTGGTAATGGTAGGGTCTGACAGCAGCTAGATTTTCCTTTTCAGGAATCTCTTAGTTCAGCTTTCCTCCCTGTTTTGGGTTCCAGACTTTGCTCCAAACTACAAAGCATCCATTACAAATGAATGCAGGAAACAAACCATACTAATGGTCTAACAACTAAATCCTTTCTGAGTCACTTCCAAATGTGGATTTTGGCACCCAGATAGCTTAACTCAAGAAGTGATTATAAATTTATATTCATTATAGTGAAGAGGAAGAAGAGCTTTGGAAGGGATATATTAAATTTTTATTTTTCAGGTTTGTAGCTTATTTTGGGAAGAGGTTTTTCTGGGAGCAGACCATCTCATAATTTCTAACAGTGAGGTATTCTGGTACCAAAGGGAAAAATGAACAGGTGAAGACTTTGGGATTGTGTTTAGAGAACTTCAGATATTTATTGAAATAGGAACTTGCATCCGAGGTTAGAAACAATGAAGTAGAAAAAAGGGGAGCAAGAATAATGCCACATCTTTAATAATCAGAGGATTTGAGGTAAGTTATTATCTCATCTGTTATCTGAGATAACCATGAACTGAGAGAGCCTAATTTTAACATGGCTCTTAGCAGTAGAAAATCTTATTGCCAAGTTAACCACATAGTTTCTTTATCTATGGGGCAAAGAAATCAGGTAGGATGTATGCTAGAATTAAAAGCACTCTGGATACAGAAATCTGCAAGCAAAAAATACAGGGAATTGCTCTGTATTCCCCATTATCAGATGATACTTCACAACAAGCTGCTGGAGGTTTGGCTGGGCTGTAGAGTGGAGAGAGCCATGGAGAGCTCTGAATTGCCATGGTCTGAGCCTGCTGTGAAACAAAGAAACAAAAGAAGCACAGTCAGAGGCTGCAGCAGAGATCAGGCCCAGGAATTGATAAAGTTTTGATTTGTGCACAATGTTTTGTTAATGCACTTAAGTTTTTAACCCCAGCCGTGTCTTTTTCAAGTGAAAAGTGAATTTTTCATGCTTGCTTTGAACTCTTTTTTTTTTTTTCCTTTTACTCCATAATGAATCCTTGCTGTGCTTCCTAATGAACTCATTATATAGATACCTGTAATCCCTCAAGAGATCTTGAGAAAGATCTTTTCATGCATTAGTTGTATAAAACGCTGCAGAAGGGAGTATACTGCACAAACAGACACTAGATGGAGATACAGTCCTCCAGTAACATTTAAAGTACTCTCTAGGCTCAGCAGTGGGAATGAGGATATCAGTTGCACAATGTATGACTGAAATCAGTGACTGAAGCAATAAAGTTGTTGCAATATTTGAAATAAAAAAACAACACAAACCAGGAAAAAAACACTAAGTTCTCCTTGAAAGGAAAAAAAAAAAAAAGAGTGTAGGTCTGATAGAGCAGCATGGGTAATGTACACCTGTGTCAATAAATGCAGAAATACAGACAGGCCTTGAGTCACAGGTACACTGCAACGGCTTTGGCACCCTGCCTTGGTGACTGTATCCACTCCTGGAGGAACTGACTCATCAGGATCAGAGACACTTCCAGCCTTGTATCCACTGTGCTGTGAGGGGTCTGCAGTTCCTGTCACTGTTCCACGGGTCCTTGCACACAGGGACATGCTCACTCTGGGCCTTAGGCTGGAGAATTTGTGCAGGTGGTTGGATACAGCCTCAGGCTCTGCCCGTTTGCTGGGAAGAGGTCAGTGGGAGGTGTGACCATGGGTGATCCTGCTACCTGTGTTTGGATATCTCAGAGCTTGACGCTTCCTCCTGTGTGGGAGAGCGCTTGAGTCCAAACTCCTCCAGGCAAACAGCCAACAAGGTGAGGAGAGAGGGCACTTAACACAAGGCCACTGTGTTTCAGTCTGCTTTTCCTTTTGTGTGTTGCCATCCAAGAGTTTCCAAGCCAAGTGACTGCCAGCTAGGAATTGCAGTGCCTAAGTTGTAGATGCCTCAGTCTTTTTTGGAAGAGAGTCCACTGCCTAGGTCCTACCATTCATTTCATCCTGATAAACTAGAACATATTTTTCAAGTATGTCTAAGGAAGCTAAGGAAGTTAGAGGATATTGACAGAGGTGTTTGGATATGCTGGTCTTTCCTCCTCGTATTTAATTAGCATGGTTTGACAAAGGGAGTATGGAGGATTTTAATAAAGCTGCTGAAAAGTGTTCCTGTCTGTGGATAACTTCAACACTTGGTATTATTGAATCTGGTGTTATGAAGTATTTGTCTTTCTGTCAAGGATGAATCTTGGCAATTACTGGAATTTTAACAGGCAAGTGAACAATAGAGTGCCTGATGTACCTCTGCAATTTATACTCTGTAGCTCTCACCACTCTTCACAGCTTGCAAATGCCAATTTTGTAAAAGGAGCCCCAGCCTCTGTCCCCTCAAGGACCTGTTGGGTGTAGAGAGCAAACTGGTTTTGATCCAGCAATAACACTCATCTGGCCCTGCAGATGGTTGGAGATCTGTGCAGAGAACTAGCTGCTCTGGTGGCTTACAATAGCATAGAGATTCAGCTCTTGCCAGAACCTGAAATACTTGCATGTGCTGGATCAAAGTTCTCTTAGGGGTAGAGTGTTCCGGTATTCATGTGAGTAAACAACTTTCATTCAGTATGACTGTGTTTACACCCATTTGTTCTCTCTGTTAAGATTCTTGTATGTAGACCCAAGGAAACTCCCTGTCCAACAGTCGAGGTGCAGAGAAAATCAGCCAGTGGCCCAAGTTTTTAAGTAAACAGAGCTGTTGAATTCTGGTTTTCAGACCTGAATCCAGCTCATAGTGATAATTCTCATTAAAAAAATTTTTACAAGGAAGGGTAGCTTTCAGTTCTTGAAACAAGGCATCGTTGGCATGTTCTTACATCAGGCGAGACTTAATGCATTTCTTTTTCTTCTCTGCCAGTTTTCAGGTCTTTACATCGTGTCCTTTGCTATCATCATGGTGGGCTTCACCTTGTACTGCTCCACTCCCACGCACACGGCAGAACCCGCGGCCCTGCCGCAGCCCAGCAGCTCCGGCCTGGACAACGCGGCGCTAAAACTGGAGGAGAACGACGGCGAAACCCCGGCCGTGGCTGTGCAGTTCTCCGGGGGAGAAACTGTGGTGGTCAGCACCAGTTAAAGAAATGGCAGCACTTCAAAACGGATTTATTTTTTAAATTGCCATATTTCCCTCAAATATTAATCCAGAGAACTGTCCTACTGCCAAGGCACATGTCATACTGTGCTGGGTTTAATGCACTTGATAGACTTTTAAGGCCAGATCCTGAATCAGTGAAACGGTATTGATTTGCCCTTGCAGAAAATCTGGCCTTTAGATGAAGACAGATTAGTGTTTATGTGGAGTCTCTGGAAAGTGAGAGACTGTTATTTTTAAGTACTTAATTAACTTAAAAACAAATGCTTGGGGAAAAAAACTAAGCCAAAGTAAGCTCTCAGGTCACTTAATGGGGAGCAAATATGTTTTATATAACATTAGGGACCTAAATCTGCACGATGCTGGCTGAGGGCTTCATGATTTCCACCCCTCGGTGCAGGGTGCCCTCAGGCAGCATCTTGCAAAAGCTGCTCAGCTTCTCACAGGACCTGATTCAGCAAGCCATAGTACATTCACACAGCTTTTATGTGCCACTGGACTTCATTCCTCTGCAGAAGGATTTGGTGCCTACATTCCACCCAAATGTTCATCTCTTCATATTGCTGCACTCCATGTCACCACTGGAGTTGCATTGTGTATTTCATTTCGAATTTTGCTAGTATGGGAAGTTTGAAAATGTATTTTTATAATTCCTCCTGTTTCTCTCTGTGGCCTTTTCTTTGATGCATTCCTATTAGCTGTGGGGAGGAAAAGGCAGGTTCTTCTTCTCTTCAGTAGAGCTGAAAGTGGGGTTTTTTTCTAGATTAGGTTTGAATGGAGGTTCACTTCTCAGTGAGTTTCTCCCTGAAACGGGACACATTTCTGCTGCAAGAGTTGTAATAAAATTGGCATTTCTTCAGAAAATTGAATCATTTAAGCCAACTCTCATGGCAACAATAATGACATAATATCCAAAAGGTTAGGTGCTTTCAGTAGATATACTGGCAGTTTTCATAATTGTCTTTATATTTACAGTAAATGATGAAAAAATACAAGGCTGCAGTTTTAAGATCAGTAAAACCATACTGAGGTTTTATTTTATATTTTGTACAAGCCTTCAGAGCTCAGGTGTATGAAGTAAAAAAAGAATAAAGTATCCAGCAGCTGGACAGTTGGTCTTGGTTTGCTTATTTTTTAAGCTGGGATTTCTTTACTGCTCAAAATTGTTTTCATTAATTCTGCCCACTAAATAAACCTTTTACTGGCCAAACTTTGCTCTAGAAGGAAATACGATGTTTTCTGTAGATACTGGTGATCAAATGACACTGATTTGGTTTGTGTTTCTGGTGTAGTTTATTCAAGCAAAATTTTCCAGGAAAAATCTTACTTGATTGTTATTTACAAAAGAAAAACAAAGGTTCAACAGATACTACAGCAACAATTGCTGCTTTTTTACTGTGTCGTTCATGCACAGAAGTGTGACAGGTGCTGATGTTTAGATACTACATATGCTGCTTTTTTACTGTGTCGTTCATGCACAGAAGTGTGACAGGTGCTGATGTTTTATGGAAAGCATTTGGGTCCTCTCCCATGGAGAATGCTCCTTTTGAGGGGGGATGATATTTATTTTATTTTCTAAAATTATGTGGTAGTAACATCAGAATGCAGATCAGTGCAACATAACGTAGATTTTATCCGAAGGTGCATGGGAGCATGTATTGGCTCAGGCTTTGGCCTGTCTTCAAAACACAGCAGCATCTTGTGGTGTGGTGTGAGTGCTCAGGCAGTGGCTCATCTTCTCAGCATATAGACCACTGAAACCAAAATTGTTTAAAACATGGGTTGGATGTTTTAAAATCCGCAGCCTGGATTTTTTCTTCCAAGGCTTTTAAAATCTGACTGTAATAAGAGGTTGGAATCTGATTCAAGCAAATTGGGCCAGACAGGGCTTCTGCTGAGGTGCAATGAGAGGGGAGCAGTGTGGGGCAGCTTAGATTCCCCAGGATGGACACTGGGACACCTTAGTGATTTGACACATATTCTGAGTTGAAAACTTTAAAACTGTTTCACAGATACAGACTGTGATTTAATTTCTTATGCTGTGATTTTACACCATGCAAAAGATTTCCCGGAATATTGTGTGGTAGCTGAGATTCATATGTGCTAATGCCACAAGAAGGTCTTTCAAGCTCTCATGAGGACAAGATTGATATTTTTAGTCAATTCTGTGAATGACTGCTGTTGCCATCCTCATGATGGCTCCCATTTATCTCCTTGTGATCCTGCTGGATGTAGGCCCATCCTCTGGCAGCCTGGGACAGTGGCCAGCCACATACTGGTGGTCATGCACACCTAGTGTCCTGCCTTTCATCACCTTAAATTTCTACTGTATCCCCGTGGAATGGCTGTCTGGGTGGAGAGGAGGCAAAGTTGCCTTGCAGAAGAGTTCTGCATCATAAACCAGCACCATGGTGTGGTCCAAGCTCTGGGCACGTGAGGTACTTGAAGCCTGACCTTAAAGAGTACTCAGCATGGGGTGCTGGCCCCTTGAACCTGCTTTTTTGGGAGGGGGCCAGATATATCAGTTGTCCTTGCTGTCTGTCCCAAGAATCAGAAGGAAGTGGGTGCAGACTGTTGAAGAAAGATGCATTTCTTCAGAGCACAAGTGACAAATGTATTGCTTGTGGGGAAACAACTGTTTGGTTAAGGAATCACATATGCCAGATCCTCTGGTACCTCTGGGACAAGGTGCCTGGGTGAGTCTTTAACATAAATCCTTCTGGAATATTGGAATAAGCTGGAGGAAAAAAAATCCATCTGTCACTTGTATTAAACACAAGAATCCAAATAAAAATGTGCGACATCCAGCCTTCCTCCAAGGTTTGGTTACAAAACAGTAAAAGTTATCTGGCATCAAAATGTCACGGTGTGTTGGGAAGTAAGAAATTAGTGTGGCACTAATTGAGTCCTAGCGTCTCTAGAGCTTGAGGGAAAAGATGGGCTTGTGGACATCAGCTATTTAAAGGTTTTTGACCTTTTCTAGGTCACACATACTCAATTCTGTACAATGTGATGTCTGGAACAAGCACATCAGTTCTTGTCAGCACCATTCATTCACACTATTTATTGTGGGATATTTCATTGTGTTGTATATATGCTTGTCTTGGAACAATCTATTTCAATCAATTTAGGAGGTTTGACAGAGAGAAACTGCACATGCTTTGTGATCAATCATGAACAATTTTGAGTAAGCAGACAGAGATTCCAGAAGATGCAGAGTGAAGGATCCTGCGACTGGTTTGGTCTTTCAACAAAATACAGCCTTTTGGCAATTTCAGTGTTATACCTGATGAGAGTCCAATGAGCTGTGATGTTGCAGATTTAATACTTAGCTTGAGGCTACAACATATATTCATCAGACAAACAGTATCCAAGGTATTGGAACCCCACCCTCTTGAGCTCTCTCTTTGCAGCCCTCAGAAGGAGAAATTCAGCTCTCCCTTGGAGATGCCAATATTTATTTATTGAGTTTGCTTGTTTTGAGTGGAGTAAAGCCAAACCTAAAGATCCCATACAAGTGTAATGTCCTATTCTTATGGACATTGTTGTCTGCAGTAAGGGGCTATACAAACTGATTTTTTTACAATTTATGTGAGAGATGAAAGAAGCACAGAGAGATTTTCTTGGCAGCTGTGGGAAGCCTGTGGCTGGTTTCAACAAGATTTTGTGTGCAGTGGTATCTAAAATGTGCATCCTTCACTCCTCTCCTGATACAATTTAATTTTTTCTTTTTAAGAGCATTCAAGACTGAAAGTTATAGATTTTACAGAAAAGTGCCAGAAGGAAAAATCTGATTTCTTGTACAACACGGGTCAACATATTGCATCTGATTGCTCACAAGTAAAAAACACAGCACTGTACCAGCTACTAGGAAGACAATTTATTCTATCTCAGCCTAAATCAGAAAAAGGTATAGGTTTTAGTAATGTTGCAGCATTTCTTTAAAATCTTGATTAAATTCTCAAAGCAATATTGAATTAATCCTTTCTGGAAGTAGGAGGATTGATTTTATTTTCATGAACTGGCTCTTGGATATATAAAATGTGAAGAAAGTTACAGTTCTCAGAGCTCTCTGAGATTAAACAGCCTCCAAAAGCAGGTTTCCATGCCCTTCAAGACTGATGTATTGTTAAGGTGCCAGCTGGGAACAGTTGTGGTATCTTCATCTTGAATGTATGGCCTGGGGTCAGTATCACTGAACATCACCCTATCCAAACTTTGTTTCACCAGCTCATCTCCAGCCTGTCTCCATGTGTCAGGAGCAGAGCTTGTGCAGCAAGGCAGAAAGCTCACTGGCACCGCAGGTGAAATGTGTTTCATCCCCATAAATAATAGTATCACAGTCTTCAGAGTACTCCCAAGGAGTGGACAGCATGAATTGAGACTGCATTACAGACAACTCCTAAAGAAGGCATTCAAGAAGATGGCTTAAAACAATTAGAGAGACATATTATTACTGTACAAAATGAATTGTTGAAGTTTATTTGAGTTGCTATGATGTTTTTATCATGCACTGATGCCTGGAAACAGTGAAATATCTCCAGAAGTACCCATCACTGGAAGTTTATGTAATCAGCAGCTGGTGACAGTGGTTGCAGTTCTCTGGAATATTTTTGATCATACAGCAGTCCAGGGCGATGCTGCTGCTCTTCAGCACCATCTGTTGACACTGTTTCTAATTATTTTAATTAGGAACAGCAATCATACAGGCAAAAGTGCAGCTTCCCCAGCAAAACCATGTAATTCAGTAACTGCATGACCAAGGGAGTGATTTGAAATAGGATAAATGTAGCAGAAAAAGGCTGCACAAGAGTATGGCTGCTTGCACCGTCATCTAGAAAAATTGGTTTTGCTTTAATCCATTATTATTATTTAATAAATTGGATAACTCATCCATACACAGATCATTGTAACAAAGCATGGAATGTTTTAAATTTTAGCCTCAAACTATTGGGTCACTTTTTGTCAAAACCATGGCAAAATTCAAACTGACTGAGAAATCTTGCTCAGAGTAACAATGATGCCACCAATCTCAAACAAGCCAATGCTTCATGGACTGATAATAATATTTGTATATGCATAATATCTGTGCCCTTGAAAATCTGAGTATTTTAAACCTGCACAGGTACAGGATACAATGCGTGTTCTTGCTTTGCTGTATTGTTTGTGGCAGAATTCCTTCAAGTCGTTTGCAAGGAGACTGTGATGCTCCCTGAAGTTCAAAAACCTTTGCAATTTGTCTCCTTCTGCCATCAGTGTAAGTGCCTGTTGGACTTCTCTGGAGAAATTGCTTTCATTTAATAAAGTTTATACATTACATGTGTTTTAAAAAGAAAACCTACTGGGTAATCCTATCTCTTGCAACATCTGTACATTGATTTGCTTCTTGAGAGCAAGAATGATTTGTAACTCACAACAAAGCTAAAGTAGCATGACTAAATTAAGAGAAGCATTCAGGCAGCTAGAATGCAATTACAGCATCAATGCACTTGCTGTGTTCATGTGATATTAAGATTATGAATGTAGTGAAACTGGAACCAGCGTGCACAAAGATGTGATTCCTTCCTTCCTGTGGTGTTTGTCTGCTCGTGCTGACATGGAAATGTCTTTGTTAGCTGAACAGGACCCGAGGACTCACTGCGGGTGTTGTGTGCGCAGACGGGAGATGCCAGCTCAGCTCATGGGCAGCGACACACACTGTGCTCTGACACAGAGATTTTGCTCTTATCCCACTTGTTTTCCTCAGTCTGAGGGAGGCAGGAAGTGAGTTGCTGTTGAGCTGTTGCTCTCTTTGCACATGAACACCAGGAGACACGACAGGGGGCTGGGCACCTCTCACCTTCGCCTAACTCTTCCAGGAGCTGCTGTGGAGCTTCCCCTGGGGCAGCAGGAAGGACCTGCAGGATTGCTGCTCTTGGCTGGGATGCACTGCAGCTGCAGTGGCTTTCCCAGGATCTTGGTTTCTAGTGGAGCATCATTTACCAAAGGTTAGTGTCACCTGGCTCTGCAAAGAGCATTTGCTGCAGCAATAAAGCTGCCATGGGCCCTCTGCAGCATCAGTCTGTGCTCACAAGGACAGAGTGAATACGTAGGTCCCAAATCATCTTAACTGTAGTAAAACCTGAGTCCAGCCTCACTTTCTGGAGCCCACTTTGGAATACACAGGTGTGGGGAACATGTGGCAGGATCTGG